TTACAGTAAAACAAAACAACAGTAATTCCTATATCTGACTTGAACCCAGAAGAGATGACAGACTCCACAGAGTTCCCTGGGGATATTCCAGGCAGAACACTCCTCAGTCTTCACTGGACTTATCAGGAGGCCCAAGAAAGAAAAACACACAACAAACACAGCCATACACGTACCTCATCATCAGGGCTGAGAACAAATGAAGTGATGTCCTCTTGGTCATCCTTGAAAAGTGATAAAAACAGTTATTCATCCGTTCACTGCTTCAGAGTGCTCTCAAGCCTTCCTCTGCCACAGCTTCTACTGACCCAAGCATCACACACACAGTGATGAACAATGCAAACCCCAGCCAGGTTTGCAGTTCTCAGCCCCCTCTATTCCCACTCCCCAAAGCTTCAAAACACATCAGTCACGATGCCTGAGAGCCGCGGGAAATGCTCCAGTGTTTCCTCACCTGCTCAAGGCTGTGCAGCAGAGCTCCCGTCTCGACATCGATCACGTTCAACTTGGTCCCACAGGGGCAGAACATGAACTTTCCATCCCGGCTTACCTAGAAAACAGAGGATGGAGTGCTAAGAGCAAGTAGTGAGGGCGGCCCAGCCGGTAGCAGGGCCCCAGCCCTTTCTAGAGGCACTGACCGTATGTGACCATTACCTGCACTCGCCCTCCTTTGTAGAACGGCTCGATTTTCCTCGACACAGCATAACTGAAAGGGGAAGGGAAATGCGTGGAGAGATCGTTAAAGCGAAGACAGCGCAGCTCGGCCGCTCCCGGAGGCGAAACTTATGGCCGCACAGTCCAGCCCCAGCCCCAGCCCCGCTTACTTGCTCTTGAAGCGCACCGCGCTGCCCGCCGCCGTGGCCATGGCACCCCGCGCTCCGCGTGCGGGCAACTTCCGGGTTTCGAGGGCGGGACTTCCGGCTGTAGGAGTTGGATTTCCGGCGCATGTGTATGACGCACGGCCAGACACAGGAAGCACCCGCTCTGCCCGTCCACGTGGGAGCCCCTTCCGGCTGGACGAAGCGCTGCCGTTACGGGACGGAAGGCTGCTGGTAACAGCCTCCCGCTGATCCGGGCTGTGTTCCAGCACTACACCCACCTTCAAACCCCTGATAGAGTTTGTGGACTGTACGAAAATACAAGTAACAGGACTCGAATAAGTGTTCAAGCAAGTAAATTTTTATTGAAAGTACTCGCTTTATTTATATAATCATTCTTTTATAACCGTTCTGTAGAGCTTTGAAGTATTCCAACTGTAAATCCTCCACTGCACTTCTCACAAAGACGCTTTTTGTCTTATCTTCACATGAAGGATCTTAGCCGGGCTGCTACACCTGCAGAGAGACTCACAGCGCTCACACACTGCCCTCACCGCAGTGTAAGGCCCACCCGGCCCCCCATTCAGCCACCCCCAGGGTCTTTCAATGAAGTTATGGGAACATGGGTTTCACTCCCCACACACCGTCACTGTGGGCAATAAGCTTTGATGTTCCCTATGCTGTCGGCACGGTTATCTCACCGGAGGCCACAAGAGACCGCAGGTGATTTTCAGACTGTGCCAAAGGCCCCTTCCCAGCCCACTCACTAACAGCCCTCAACAGAAATAAAACCCCAACAAAGGCTTAAACACTGCTAAAAGGTAGAAGAAAAAGAAGCAAACAAACCACCCAACTCACCACTTCCACGCTTATCAGACAACAGCCCCACGTGTGCGTACCTTTATACCATGAATGTACGCATGCGTAGAGGCAGCACATGCGCACAGCTTCCAGTTGCCCTCCCGCCCCGCACCCTGTATAAGTAAGCGGATGGCGCCCTCTCTGCGCTGTAGTGTATTCTGAATTCAGCGCGCCGGGCCGGCACAGCTGAAGGTGTTCTCGCGAGAACACTCTGACTATAAATACCGAACGGCGGCAAGTGGCGGCCTTCTACTCTACGAACACGTAAGTGGTGGTGGCGGCGGTGAGGCGGCTGTGTGACACCTCCGCTCTATCCGCGCCCATCTGAGCCGCCTGCGGCGCGGGGACGGCCGTGCCTCCCCGGATGGGTCCCGGCCGGGCTTTGTGGCCGCGCCGCGTGGTTATTTCTAATGGCGAGCGGCGGTGTTTTAGCTAACGCCTCTTTCTTTTTGGATAGCAAATGGCGGACGACGCCGGTGCTGCAGGAGGGGCAGGAGCCGCCCGAGGAGGCTTCCGCGGCGGCTTCGGGACCGGGCTGCGGGGCCGCGGGCGCGGCCGTGGTAGGGGCCGAGGGAGAGGCCGCGGGGCCCGTGGGGGCAAAGCAGAGGATAAAGAAGTAAGTGGCACCAGCAGGGCGGGGAGGGTTATGTCGGCCCGACCCGGGTGGTGTTGGCTTACAGCTCCTCTAGAAGCTGCTGCGAGCCTTTTGTCGTTTGCTTGTTTCTTCCCTAGTGGATTCCTGTCACCAAACTTGGTCGCCTGGTCAAGGATATGAAGATCAAGTCTCTGGAGGAGATCTACCTCTTCTCCCTTCCCATCAAGGTGAGGTTCTGTGGATGCTCAGAGCTGGTGAGCAGCGTGCAGCTGGATCTCGGTCTGAACTGTGAAATTAGCATTAGTTGCTGTATTTGTTATTTAGAGAGCACAAGTTGAGCTGTGTTGTTATTTAGTTTACGCTGGGCTCATTTGTAGGGAAGAGCAGTGAGATTTGTGTGTTTTATTTTGCTTTGTGTGGAGATCACAGCTTAGAAGTGTGGCTGTGTGTGATTAATTGTCTGAATCTTGTAGGAGTCAGAGATCATTGATTTCTTCCTGGGGTCTTCTCTGAAAGATGAGGTGTTGAAGATCATGCCTGTCCAGAAACAGACGCGTGCTGGTCAGCGTACCAGGTTTAAGGTAATCTCTTTTGCAGATTTTTTTTCTTGAACATTGGGATTGTGATAGCTGTGTATCAGGAATCTAAAGCCCAATTTTCCTTTGTTACTTTTAATCTAGAAAGCAAAACTGTAAGGGGAGAAATGTGCTTCTCAAATATAATGAATCCCAGAACGACCTGGGTTGGAAGGGACCTCAAGTATCATCAAGCTCCAAATCCCCTCTGCAACAAGGGCCACCAACCTCCACATTTAATACTAGACTATGCTGCTCAGAGCCCCATCCAACCTGGCCTTGAACACCTCCAGGGATGGGGCATTCACAACCTCTCTGGGCAGCCTCTTCCAGCACCTTACTAAGCTTCATAACTGTATAAGCTATAGGAGCTGCTTCAATAACTGTTTAATTGTAGTGTACTGTAGCTGTTAAATATTGATTGTATGCTTGTGGTTATCTATGGTGAGATCCTGCTGGATTATGTTCTGCTGAGAGTGTGTTCCTACATGACAAAGCCTTGGCTGAAAACTGTCCTTCAATTTTAGGCTTTTGTTGCCATTGGAGACTACAATGGCCATGTTGGTCTTGGTGTTAAATGCTCTAAAGAAGTTGCTACTGCAATTCGTGGGGCAATCATTTTGGCTAAATTATCCATCGTACCAGTGCGACGAGGTTACTGGGGGAACAAGATCGGCAAGCCTCACACCGTGCCTTGCAAGGTAAGAACAGCTTGCTGTGCATTGCCTGTGAGTCACGCTGTGGTGTGTGCTGTGGAAGCTGTAACCTGTTGTGCTCATAGGTTACTGGGCGGTGTGGATCTGTCCTGGTGCGTCTGATCCCAGCACCTCGTGGTACAGGCATCGTGTCTGCCCCTGTTCCCAAGAAGCTGCTGATGATGGCTGGAATTGATGACTGTTATACCTCAGCCAGGGGCTGTACTGCCACACTTGGCAACTTTGGTAAGTGTGAGGTTATTGCGTTGTAGTTTAGCTATGTGTGTGTTCTGTTTTACTGAAAGGGAAAATAATGCTGTGGTATTGTTAAATCCATGTTAAATGGAAAGCTCCCAATCTCCCAATCTGCGCGGTTGCACTTGCTTGAAGTAGTGTAATTGTCGTAAATGGAGAGAGAAAGGAAACTGAATTTTAAGAGTATAACAGAGAGATCTTCTTATGGTCTCTCTGTTTCCTCTGAAATTCTACACTTCTGGAGATGAGTAAGTGGATACAGGAGTTCATTTCTCTAACAGTGATGTGCAATGTTTAACTTTTTTCCATAGCTAAGGCCACCTTTGATGCCATCTCCAAGACATACAGTTACCTGACTCCTGACCTCTGGAAAGAGACTGTTTTCACTAAGTCTCCTTACCAGGTACACATGCAATGCTTCCTTCAGTTGCCAGCTTATGTTATCCTGATAGCTGATAAGTTTGGGGTAATACTTAATAGTATTTCATGGTCCAAGAAGAAAGAAAGAAGTGAAATATTAAGACACAGTACACTGTATCTGAAAATCCCATCCAAGTGTACACAGCTTGTTGAAAGGGGTTACAATGCTGAGAAGGCTATCACAGTGGTTTACAGAAATTAAATGCTATTTTTCTTTTTATCCAGGAGTTCACTGATCATCTGGCTAAGACCCACACCAGAGTCTCAGTGCAGAGAACCCAGGCAGCTGCTGTGGCAACTACTTAAGTGGTTTTTGTACAAGACAATAAAGTGGTCAGTGGACAAGAAGTTGGTTTGATTTGATGCTTTTTGCGTTGGGTAGATGGATTAAGTCCGTGCTTGGGATCTGAGTAGGCTGGAGATGTAGGTGGGCTACAGCCTGAACATCTGGGTGGAACAATGTTTTACACTAACCCTTGTTAACTGCGTATTTAATCCTGAGTGGGGTTTATAACTAAAGAGAGGGGAATAATATGCCTTTATACTATCCTTTCATAGCACGTTTACTCTGAGGGTGCTCCCTACCATGGTTGGGTAGAGCAGAATTAATGGTTTGTAGTAGTGGAGAAATCCAGCAGGGACAACACCCCAGGGTGTCCCCACAGCTGGGGTGGGTACGTGGAGCTCACTTTGTTTAGAGGGTGGTAGCAACCAACTGGAATGCAGATCTAGAAAAGGAAGAATTTTAAGTTTTTCCACACCTCTTCAAAGAATGAGTCTGTGCTAATGGTATGGCAGATGTTTGGGTTTGCAAGTTTATTGTAGAACATCACAGTTCACAGATGCAACACAGGATTTGATAAAAGCACCACTGATGGAGGTGCTAATTATTCTGTATCTACTGAGATGCATTTTCTTGTGCCTTCATTTCTTCTATCATCCTGTGCTTCTGCTTCATCAGACATGTCCTGGCATTTCCGTGGACACCAAGATCACCATCTAAAAGGAAAGGTAATCGTGTGAATGTCTGAAAAGTAGCCCTCAGCAACTAGGAGGAACTAGGTCTGACCCAGGTGAAGTGTGGCACTCAAGCTGCAGTGCTGAGAGAAATGCACACAGCTCTGGGTACTGCAGGAGTGTCAGCTGTGCTTATTGAAATGTCACTGCCCAGGCCTAGTGGTGGGTATGGCACATCTGAATGCTGAGCCCAGATCTGTAGCATTTTCCAAGAGGGAGTTTTAAAGCAAAGATGAGATCTTTTGAACCTTCCTTTCCCCATATGCTGTTACAGCTAAAGGGGATGTGAAGGCTGCTGTACTCACATCTGTCTTGGTAGGCTTTGGTAACCTGTGCAAGCTGCTTCGCTTCCTTGGCACAATTCTGAAAATGGTTTGGTCCTTCCCTATGCTTGCATGCACCGAGCCTTTCCCGGATTATCTCCACAATCTGCTGATCCACCAACCTGTGTGGGAGATGAGTAGGAATGCAACTGCAGCACATGGACTACAGAAGAGCAGAACAAAGGGGTGATAACAGAAATTCAGTGCTGCAGAAATCAGGTCATGCAGGATGACAATAATGCCAGCCTGCCCAGCTAAGCAGGCTCCAGGAGACAGCAGGACTACAACCACCAGGGGGTTTAAGGGGGTAGACACAGTGGCTTAGGTAACTATTCAACACCCCAAAATCCATGTGATTCCAAGCCAACCCCTGCGACACCCATAGCTGACCGAGAAGAGCGGGAGCGCTCTGTGACTGCCTGCTGGGGGCAGCCCTGTGCCAGCCGTACCTGTCCCTCCTCCACTGCGCTTCAGCCTCATAGAAGCAGAGGTAATCCCCCTCCAGGCACTCGCTCACGTCGGGCACACGGCGAAACTTCTGGTGGTAGTAATAGGACTTGTTCTTGGCTTGCTGGCGCTCGATCCACTCTGCAACAGCAGCGGCACAGTCAGGCACCTCACAGCCCGCTGTGTCGGTGCGTCTGTCTGTGCCGCCACCGCTGCGTGCACCGCCTGAGCCCGTGTCCCCGCGTCTGTCCCGCCGGCCGTGTCCTTGTGCCCCCGTGTCCCTATGTCTGTCCCGTGTCCTTGCCTCCTTCCCGTACCGGTGTCCCCGTCCCCACACCGCGTCGCGGCCCTTCCGACGGGAGCGGGAAGGCCGCGCTCAGCCCGGTGGGCCAGTCTGTACCTCGTACGAAGGTAACGGGCGCATCGATGACATAGTTGAACGCGGTCTGGATGAAGGTGACCGGGTTGGGCAGAGTCGAGGTGCTCTCCAAGACCGGAGTACGGCTCGGCGGCGCTTTGTACACCTCCGGGTCCGGCTCGTCCGGCATGGCGGCGGCGGGGCTCGGCGGACGGCGGGGACGAGGAGAAGATGGCGGCGCCCCACACAGCGCCGGCGGCGGCGGACGCAGAGGTCAGAGGGCGCAGCTCTGCGCATGCTCCCTCGGGGTGCGGTGCATTCTGGGAGTTGTAGTCCGCCCGCGGCCTAGCTGCTATGGCGGTTAGACGAGGGCTAGCTTCACGTTTTCCAGCATAAAAACGTAGTATCGCTAAGGTTGAGAAAGAAGATCCCAAGTCCAACCCCAAGCCATCCCACTGTGCTCACTGATGTTGTTCCTCAGTGCTGGATCTCCACGGTCCTTGAGCACCTCCAGGGATGGTGACCCCACGCCCTCCCTGGGCAGCAGTGCCAGTGCCCGACTGCTCTTCCAGAGAATGGTTTCCTCACTTTCCACCTGAATCTCTCCTGGTGCAACGTGAGGCCGTCGCCTCTCATCCCGTCATTGTTACCTGAAGGCAGAGGCTGGCTCGCACCTCACCACAGCTTTTCACTGTGCTCACTGTGCCTGCTGGCTCAATCTCTATCCCAGGAAGAATCACAGCCTTTATTCCTGGCCTGATGTAGGACTTATTAATCTGCCACTGGCTGTGCCCCTTGAAGGAGCTCCCACAGTTTGGCTGTGTGCAGTTGGGAAGCTATTGTGATTGGTGCCATTCATGTTGGACTTGAGGAGGGGAAGCCGTAAACTGAGACACCAGCAGTTGACCTTTACCACATCCCAACTGTTAGAGTAAAGCTGGCAGCTTTGCTAAGTGTGAAATGAATATCGCACCCAATGAAGCTAGTGGCTAAATTTGTGTCTTAAGTATTAAACAGGAGGGGCACATAGTGATAGCCTCTTCCTGCTGCTGACTTGAGCTGAAGACGTCCCATGGTTTGTAAAGCTCGGCACTGCTGCCTTTTGGATTGCATGGAAAGGGGCAGTGAGCAGGGCTAGGTTATTGGTGAAATTAGTGCAGCTGAAGTGGGGCTGGACCTGCCATAACTCCACTTGGGTTGGAAAAAAGGCTTGATGGAAGGTGCAGCCAGGTTCTCTAACTGGTCTCCAAGGAAGGAGTTGTAGTGGGCATAGATCTAACTCCTCGGTGCTTGGGCTGGCCCCTAGTTCCCCTGCCTTGAAGCCAATACCATAAGAATTTGTCAATGTCTCTCTAAAATGCTATTGCTTTTCTTTGCCTGACACAACCTGACCTTCAGATTGGGGCTTGTATATTTAGCTCTGCTAATTTGGTTTCAAGGTACATATTTAACCTGCACATGTTCTTATTACTGATTCCTTTGGGCATCCTTTCTGGTTTCTTCCGATTGTTAGCTGTGCTTGCTTGGTGCCATTTGCCTTGATGACAGAGCATTGAATGTGACCCTGTGAATTCTGAGCGGGCCCTTTTTGATGATTCTGAAAATAAAAACTACAATTAACAACACAGTATAGCAGACCTATTAAACAACATATTTCTCCTTGAAATTGTTGAAGCAGAAAGGAAAAAGATTGTTTTCAGTTAGTCTGCACTATTTTTCCAGAAATGTACTAAATTCTTTGTGTGGTAGAACCTTAAACAAAAGCCCATGCCATTACAAATTCTCTCATGTTGGAAATAAGAAAGAGCCCAGAATCCTTCCAGTATTCACTGATGTTAAAAGGGATGTTTCCCCTTGTACTTTGGGTTCAGCCCTTTGAGTATCTTCTGAGACCCAAGGCTGAGTCTGATATTTTTTGTTTCTTCTTTCTACAGTCCCACCGCAAATTCTCTGCTCCTAGGCATGGCCACTTGGGCTTCCTTCCTCACAAGAGAAGCCGTCGCCACCGAGGGAAGGTGAAGACATGGCCTAAGGATGACCCCAGCAAACCAATCCATCTGACAGCTTTCATGGGCTACAAAGCTGGCATGACACACACTCTGCGGGAGGTGCACAGGCCTGGACTCAGTAAGGATTGGCTAAAGGAGGGGATCTTATCCAGGAGGAAAGAGGGGGAACAGGTTGTTGTTGGGAAAGGCTGCTCATGGAAATGGGTGGTAGAGCACGTATCTTCTTGGCTATGTCCTGTAATGCTGTCCAGATATTTGATAGCTAAAGGCCATCACATGACTTATGTAAACTGAGTCTGGGGATTTCCGGGAAGTCCCCACCCTAGTTTGTTGGTTGGTGGTTTGTTGGATCCTGCTGGCAGAAGCACCCTGACAAATGCTGGGTACCGTGAAACATTGCAGTGGGGAATTTTATAATGTTACCCTCTGGGATGATTATGAGATTGGAGCCAAACTCCAGGGCATGCAATGCTCCTTCCAACATGCAGAAGATGGGTTAAAGTGTGCTGAGCCATAGAATCTATCCACTTGAGTGCCTGAAGGTCAAACTCTGCATGACTCTCCAGCAGGACTTGTGGATGTGGGAAGAGATGAAAGATCTAGCAGTGAGAGTAGCGTGTGACCTTGCCTCCAGCATACTGCTTGCTTAGTGGGCCAGACATGTAGACTGCTAATGGCTCCCAGGCAAGAATCTGATCTCTTTTCCCTTTGCTGTCTTGCAGGGATCTCCAAGAGGGAGGAGGTGGAGGCTGTGACCATCATTGAGACCCCACCAATGGTGGTGGTGGGAGTTGTGGGATACATAGATACACCAAAGGGCTTGAGGAATTTCAAGACTGTTTTTGCTGAGCACATCAGTGATGAGTGCAGACGACGTTTCTATAAGAACTGGTACATGCCTCCCTGGGTGGAGTGTCACTGGGGTCTCTTGCAGGCTCTCTGTGTTGCCTACATGTTGCAGACAGCTCAGCTACTAGCAGCTGGCTCTGAGGTGGAATGAAATAGCTATTTAGTCATGCACAGAGATACTGCAAACAGCTTGATGCTGGGAATCAGCATATGCATATGTAAATTTATTCTAATAGTTGAACCGAGTTAGTGCTTTCTGCAGTATCATACACAGTGCATGCTGCAGGTCCATTTTAATTAGTGTAGCTTGGGCCCATCTATTCCTCATTAAACTGAGATGTTTGAGCTTAGCTAGCAAGTGAAGATGGGAGGAAAAACAGATTTTTCAGGAGGAATATTGATGCAGAATGTGCCCCTTGGCCCTTGTAAACAGTAACAGCCCAAATCCCACACCGACAGAGAGGAAAATGGAAACATGAATTTCATAACCATGGGAATCGTGTCTCCTGCAGAAGCGCGTGTTGGCCGTTAGATCCACCCACCACATGCTTCCAATCCTTGTTGAAGGCTGTGTTCTCCTTTCTCCACTTAACTCTGATTTTGTGCTTGTGTTTTAATGGCACTGAGCCAGTCAGTAGGAGACAACTGGATTCTTCATGCAGAAAGGTCTGAATTAGCAGTCCTTTTTGCAGCTTATTATTCGCTTTCATCTTCCCACCTCAGAGCCCTCTCTCATGAGCCTGGCAGTCAGGGATGATTCAGGTACCCATGGGTACTGTATGTCTTCAGGAAGGTGCATGGACCTTCTGTCCCCCGTGCTGTTTAGTCTGCAAGGCACAGTGAAGAATCAATTCACTATTGAGCTCTTGATAGACGTTAAACGTTTCTGTTGTAGGCACAAGAGCAAGAAGAAGGCTTTCACCAAGTACTGCAAAAAATGGCAGGATGAGGATGGCAAGAAGCAGCTGGAGAAAGACTTTGCAGCTATGAAAAAGTACTGCAAGGTCATTCGTGTCATCATGCACACACAGGTCAGGGTCTTCCTCAGCTTGAGAGAGTGGTTAGGACTGGGAGGTTGGCACAGGGGTTGTCATGATGGGGTCAGAGGAGACAGCCTGTGAAAGCAGATGAAAGGCTGTGGGGAAGAGCATGCAGACAGTGGGAGGTGCTGGCTGCCCTTTCCAGCCACCTCCTGACACCAGTCCTGTCCATCTGAGCCTGGCTCAGCAGGGCTCCCTGCCTGGATATTGACACAGGGTGAGCCCTGTGTCAGCAAGAGACCTTGGGCCCCATGATCACCTCAAATTAGCAACTGGTGTCGAGTGTTGGGAAAAAATAACCCACAGGCAAACACAATTTTGCCAGATGCAGATTGCTGGATATACAAGGCCCATTTTTGTGCTGATCCCTGGAGTTAGCAACTGTATTGGAGCCTGCAGCAGAGCAAAGCTGGCTTAACTTCACTTGTGGCTGGTGCAGACAGGGAGGGACACTGGCTGTCATAAAAGAAGTTGACATTGTGGTGGGGAGGGATGATAGGGAGCTGGGTCTGCTCACTCCCTGCTCCTTTCGCTAGTAATGGGTGATGCAGCCCTGTCTGCACGTTCACAGGTTGTGGGGCAACATTTTGCTCTAATGCACTGCTTTAACACAGATGAAGCTGCTTCCACTGAGGCAAAAGAAAGCCCACGTGATGGAGATTCAGCTGAATGGTGGAACAGTGGCTGAGAAGATTGATTGGGCCCGTGAGAGGTTGGAGAAGCAGATCTCTGTGCACAGCGTCTTCAGCCAGAACGAGATGATTGATGTCATTGGTGTGACCAAGGGGCATGGGATGAAAGGTACAAAGTGGGAGGACCCTTGCCAGGGGCTTGACTTTGTCCTTCTTACCTTATGCTGCCCATAAGGTAATGCTGGGGGGAGAAGAGTGTGAGCCATGCTGAGAATCCACCAACTTATTGTACAGGGAGAGCCTGTGTATTTCAAACACAGTGTGCAATTCCACTGTAGCAGAGTTTGGTTTCCTTTATGTCAGTGTTGGCTATGTTGTCTGCCATGCTCGGAGTCCTCCCTGAAGGCCTAGAGGTGTTGTGAGGATGTAAAGGCACTGCACTTCTCATAAGCCCCATGTTTGTAAAGATGTGGGCGTTTCTGTGTGTGTGTGTGGATATGCTCAGCAGGAACATATCGCAGTCTGATCAGATCCATTGGAAGTGAGAACAGTTCTGTGCTCTGACCCTTCACTGTGGTGACAGCTCTTGGTCTCCTTCCAACACAGTGTCTTCTGCGAACTTCAGAAGAACGACGAAACTTTCTCCTCACTTCACATTCCCTCCCAGCTCAGACACCAGTCCTGAATCTCCCATACCCCCCAGTGTTCTCATTAGCCCTGTCCGGTCACACTTGCAGGGGTGACAAGCCGTTGGCACTCCAAGAAGCTCCCCAGGAAGACACACAAGGGTTTGCGCAAAGTTGCCTGCATTGGAGCCTGGCACCCAGCCCGGGTTGGCTACTCCGTTGCTCGTGCTGGCCAGAAGGGCTACCACCACCGCACAGAGCTCAACAAGAAGGTATGGTCCAGCACTGCACCTCCCTTCCATGCTGTCACCATCCTTCTTTGCACAATGGCTTCAGTTCCCCCACAGCTTCTTTTATGTTACCCTGGAGATGTGCAGGGCTCTCATTCTGCATATCTCTTCTTGCTTGTTTCCTGCTCAAAAGGTGCACCACAGGGCACATCTCAGTGATAATTATGTTTCTTGTTTCTGTGACATCCATCAGTGTGAGGACACTAAAGTCACCATTGCCATTTCCTTCCTTTTCTCAGATTTTCCGTATTGGCCGTGGGATCCACGTGGAAGATGGCAAAGTGGTGAAGAACAATGCCTCAACAAACTATGATGTCACGGAGAAGAGCATTACACCTCTGGTAACGGGTAACAGGGCTGAAACTGGCCCTTGCTGTAGGAGTCTGGGTTAGGACACAGCTGATGATTTGAATTCCACTGAAGGAAATACAGTCAGTGTGACTGTAATGCGCTGGTGACACTGCATTCAGCTGTTCTGAATGGTGTGCAGTTTAGATAGCTTGAAGGTCTGTCAGTCCTTCCTCTACTAGAAAATGTCACCAGCTTGTTACATTCCCATTCAGTACTCCTGCCAGCCTGCCAACCCTCTTTGTCTCTTCCTCCAGGGTGGCTTTCCTCACTACGGGGAGGTCAACAATGACTTCCTCATGCTGAAAGGCTGTGTTGTGGGCCCGAAGAAGCGTGTGCTCACTCTGAGGAAGGTGAGAGCACAGCTGGTGCTGGGGAAGGACTGACTGTAGCTCTCTACTAACAGATGTACCACGTGCATGAAGCCCGTGAATGCTGGGCAGTGAGACTGGTTGAGTTCTTGATGCTGTGTGCAGAGAGCGTGTGGCACATGAGCATGGTGCTCAGTGAGACCATTTGTAGAGTGGCTGACTATGGCAGTGTGCAGCCCAATGTAGATGTAGCCACACCTTTGGGGTATGGCTGGGGGAGTTGCAAGTGGAAACCTTGGCCATAAACAGATGGTGAGGAAATGAAATGCAAAGCAAAGAGCAGGCTTGTTTCAGAGCTGCTCTGCAAGCAAAGGTATCAGCTGCCATCTGAGCACTAGGGTGTTCCTTTGAGAAAGCAGATTTTCATGGAGCTAGTTGTCTAATGGATGCACTGAGGACACTTGAGCACTGCCTCCATCAGAGCAGACATCCAGATTTTCTGTAAAGATAAGCCCGATGCACTGACTTTTCTCTTTCAGTCCCTTCTGGTGCATACACGCCGCCGAGCTCATGAAAATATTGAACTCAAATTCATTGATACCACTTCCAAGTTTGGCCATGGCTGCTTCCAGACAGCTCAGGAGAAGCGTGCATTCATGGTGAGTTACACACTGCACCAGCTGCTGGGCCATGCTCACAGCTGGGGCTAAAGCAACTGACTGACTCCAGCCAAGCATCTGCTTCTAGACATAATAACAGCCAACTGAGTGATTGGGACCGTCTTGCATAAAAGACAAACATGAATTCAATTCATGCAGCAGATATTATGCTAAGGAAGAACATGATGATCATATGAGTGATCCAAGACAATGCAACTAGCAAATAATATACCATATGGCCAACCAGTTTCCATTCACCATGGGATGTTTTAAACAAGCAGTTAACTTGGCAAACACTGTATTGGACATATGGTCCCTTTCACTCATAATTGTGAGCTTCTTTGATTTGTTTGGAATGATTTAAAACTTTAATGTTCTTAAGAGGAAAAGGTTGGGTCAAATTCAGCCACAGATTTGTGATTTTTCTGTCAGGAAGCTTTCAAAAAGGCCAAGCAGTATGTTATTCTTAAACCCAGGGCAAAATAAATCCAAAACAAACGTAGCTTCTTGGATAGTTTTGCAGCCTACACCAGGCTGGTGCCTATGTCTGAATACAAAATTGAGGAAGTGTTTAGTGAGCTAGGCCTGCAGCTAGCAGAAAAGAAAAAAAAAACTGCTGCATACAGGCAGACATGAACTGTGTCTGGATGTAGTCTGTCAGCCAGAAATCCTACATGAAGCTAGCTAAGCCTCCTTAGCCCCTGGCAGGGGGATTGGTTATGCAGTGTCTTAGCAGAGCTCTTTTAGATGTTAAGCCATTTTCCTTTAGCTCAGCATCAGGAGCTTGTTCTGCAGTGAGAATATTCATGTTCTGCTCTTGTTGTCACTGTAAGTCCTGCATAGCTGTGACATGGAGCTCAGAGACAGGGAATTGTTCTACCTGGTTGTGGGTGGTTTATTTGCCATTTTCTACTGTGGGGTGAGAGGTTCTCCCATGAATAATATGGTAAAACTTTACATTTTACTAGAAGTAATATGGCACAAAAGCAAATCTTGCAACCTGCTCCTATGGGACTTCTCTGATCCAAGAAAACCCCATTTATTTGCTGGTGGAAACCCCTCAGCCTCGCTGAGTTGGCTGATGAGATTCTGTGCCCTTGGCTGTGGGAAGCCTTACCTTGTTCAGGTTCATACAACTGGGTGGCTCCAAGCAGGTCATTGCCACTTGCTGGCAATGTGTAGTTCAGATAAACACTTTGTGCAAGACCACGATGTTTTGCTTGTGATTCCTGCAGAGCTAGCAAGGCCCCAAGTCTTACTGGTGAATGGCAGCACAGAGCTACCAGATGGGAAACAGAGGCCAGCAGCAGCCTAGCACAGCAGAAAGGGGCCAAAGCTGCAGTAGTGCTCCACACAGCTCACACACAGCCTTGAAAACCATGTTTGTGTGCTGCTAACACTTAGACCTCTCCTCACTGCTCTCTTGTAGGGTCCTCAGAAAAAACACCTGGTGAAAGTGAAGCCAGGTGCGCAAGAAGAGCTGTAAGGGATGAGATACACAAGGCTTCCTAATTGGACAAACTTCAATAAAGGGTCTTCAAGCTGTGCCTGCTGCCTGTCTTCCTTCTGAAGGAGTGTCTTGCCGTGTACACTGCTTCCTATGGGCAGCAGTGTGTCCTCAAGCACCTCAGCCACTGGAGATGGTACAAGTAGCACTTGGGACAGGTTCTCATGGAGAGAGACTACCTAGGAATCTAAGTGTCTACTCTGTCCCTCTGCATCCTCCCTTTCCATGGCCCAATGAATTTCTTCACTGCATGTATTCACTTAAACCACGGTGAAGGAATCCCCTTTTCTTCCAGAGCAGAGCAGGTGCCAGCAGGGAGTAGAAGGCTTCCCTACTGACTGCCTATGCCCAGCCTCACTGACTGTCTGTCCCCTTGCCATCTCCTGCATGCACACATACACACACATGCTCTTCTTGTTGAGCATGAGCCACATACTTCTCTCTGCACAAGACCCCTGGGCCCATCTGGCTCCCTCAGCAGCCCCAGAATTTCATGTACAATGACGTGGTTGATAGGTAAGACTGGCCAGTGATGGATTTATTCAGATTTTGGATTAGTTTCTCACCCGTTTTCCTTGCAGCCCAGCTGCCAGCGGGAGGGTGTCTTGGAGTTGTGGTGCCTTGGATCCAAGGTGATTGTGACTCGTTGAGTGCAGAACTTATCTGGGTGTCCTGCACCCTCTTTGGGAATCAGACAGTGGAAACTACGGCCCTCTGCTGCTCTGGAGCTGTCCACTTGGTTAGGAGGAATCCTGAGATGCTGGTGGGAGGTGTGTGAAGTTCTTGGGTGTCCAGCAAACCCCTTCCCCTGGGTCTGCTTTGTCTCTGAATTTTCTTGCAATATTTAAGGAGCAGGCTCATCTACAAAGTGCAGGATGCTGAGAATGAGATGAACTGAGATGCTCAGGTCCCATGGCATAGTACTGGATGCCATTAGTGGCCAGGCCTCAGCTTGATGATGTGTCCCAGTGAGGTCCCTGAGCCCTTTGCAGTGTCTCTACCCTGCCCATATGGCTGAACTTCAGAGCCTCTTCTCTCCCCTGACTGGTATGTCCCTGGGCAGCTCCCCAGTGAGTGGCTGAGGATTCAGGCCAGAATGCATGATTGGAATGATGAGATCATCCATGTTTGGCATCACCAAAATTTTCTGTAAAGAGGAATCCAGAATAACAAGAAATTGATTTTGAGTACCACAACTGGCAGGGTTTGCTCAGCCCTTTAGTGAACCCAGCCCTTGGGGTCAGGCACCTGAAATTCATGCTGCAGCTTCTTCTCAATCCACTCAGTGACATGTACGAATGTTACCTCCCTCTCACCCAGCTTTGGGCACACCTTCAGCTCCAGCTGGGGTGGAACACGGAAGCTGTACCTGTGAGGGGAGAAGATGGAGGCAGAAAGCATCATGTCCCATACACATGGCACAGCCCACATGATCAGCTTGCCAGAGGCCCAACTGCTGGATTCTGGGGACATGTCCCAGGAGCAGTTGGCCAGTTTGTGGTGGGAGCTGTACGTCCCAAAATTGCATCTTCTCCCACCTGGAGACCAGGAGGGTCTGAGAGTCCTTTTGGGAGAGCAGCCTTGGCTTGCTGGGACCCTAAATGAACCCACACCCCAGCCCTGGTTTATTGACCAAGCCATAGGGAGATGGGGAGATGGGAGGAGGATGAACATGGAGCCCACCCGGAAGGAAGGAGAGCCGGTACCAGACACGGTCAGTTGGTGGCGGTGGCACATTCACAGCCAAGGTGCCTGCCAGCTCTTGCACCTCCACCATCAGCAGCAGTGGTGTGTTGGAAACTTCCTCGATCTTCTTTTTGATGAACTCATTTTCTGTGGCCTTCTGGAAGTACTTGGACTTGGCAATCTTATCCACAAAGCGCAGGATCTTCCGGCCCGTGCTGTTGCTGCTCACATGGCTGAGACGAGGGGACCCGCAGGATGAGACCCCTCAGAGACACAAGTCCCTTTCCAGGGGTCACCATGAGGTGGTGGGGTGCCCGCCTGTACCCCGCAGCGTCTCAATCCCAGAATTTCCCCCTCACCCTTCAGTGCCGGGTGGCAGGACTCGCTCCCCTGGGACTCCAGCAGGCTCTGCAGTGACAATGTCCTCCTCATCAGAGGAGCCAGCGCTGGATGACTCTGCATCGCTATCTGCCAGCAGGATGAGCCGAAGCTTGGTCCTGTGAGTCCATGGCTGCATCAGTGCAATGCCATGGGAACAGACCCTCTCACCTCACTCAGGTGAAAGGATGTGGGTGAAACCCAGCCCTGTGTGGTCATCTTACCCTTCTCCACTTGGCTCTACCTGGCCACTGTCCTCTGCAGCACCTTCCTTCCCCAGCTTGCAGAGGTTCATCTTTGTCTCGAGGGTCATCTGCAATGAGCCGCTGTAGGTGACCTCCATATCCACCCAGAGACCTGCCAAGGAGAGAGGGAGTGAGCCCCCATCAGTGCCACTGTGGCTGCTCATGTGCCTGCTAAAGCCTCCCTGCTTGGGATCCAGGCTGGCACCTTGATAATAGCCACCATGGAGCCAGCCCTGCTGTTCCTGCTGCTCTGCAGGGTTCTTACCTCGGTCATTGATGGTGGGCTTGGAGGCGCTGAGGATGGAAGGGATGGATGTGCCCATGTCCAGCTCTGTCAGTTTCAGCTCATTCATAAAATATGGGAGCTAAAGGAGGGGAACCACAAGAGGATGGTCACCACAACCTGGCACCCACCAAGGCGATAGGACAGGGTCCAATGGGTACTGCAATCTCCTGTGACAATTCCTGCTTCTCACCTTGATCTTGCTCAACTTTTTCTGGATCTTGCTGGACACCTGCTCAGCCCAGTAACGCTCCCGGAGGAAGTCCCAGAATATGCGCCCTACCAGTGCATTCACCCAGGCCACACAGCCCTCAGTACACCCAGCTGTGTCCTCACTGAGCTGTGAGCAGGGAGAAGCCACAAGTGCCTGGAGTCAGTTGGGACCCCATGGGCTGGGACCCTGCACTGCAGCTTAGCTGCTCCAACCGTAGTTTCGAGAAGGAGGAGATGAACACCAAGGCTGGGAGACAGCAGTACATGTGGTTCATCGGCTCTGCTCAGTGATTGCATCCAGCTCTGAGATCTCACCTTGGTGGCTGCAGGGCTGCCCAGTGTGCTGTGAGGGGGGCTCTGCTCTGGGCTGTTCCCTGTCTCTGCTGGCACAAATTGGGCCATGTAGGTGCTGTAATCCAGAAAAATCTTCTGCTGAAAGATTCCAGCCAGCTCCTTGGATCTGATGGCAGAGGGGATGTCCTCAGTGCTCCCACTAATGCTGCTGGCACCACTCTGTGCAGCCGGTTCTTTGCCTGGGGACACAGGAACATGTGCAGGTCTGGCTGCAGCAAGAGGTGATGTGTGCAGGATGACGTGCCGTGATGCACGTGCAGCGATGTGCTGTGTGGCTGCCATGCACACACACCTTATGCTGCAGAAAGGGAATCCTCCATGCTGGAGGGCTCTGGGTAGGTGAGCCCTGTTTCTGCTCCTCCATCTCCCTCCCCATTCACTAGTGCCTATCCAGAGCCCATCCTCCTGGCACGTGGCTCTGGATCTCTCCCAGAAGCCGCATCTCACCTGGCCTGGCTTCACCATGGCTGCTGCTGGGGTTCCCACTGCAGGCTTGCAGGAGATGGTGGTACCACTCCTCCTTCTCCCTTCCTGTCCTCCCAAAGAGGTACAGGCACCTTTCCCTGCAGTCCCCTGGGACTTCCTGGCCAGGTGCCTGTGGCTTCTTCGTCCCTTCTTCCCCTGGCTGCTCTGTGCCATGCTCATCACTGCTCCTATGTTCTGTGTCTGTCTGTTCTGGGAAGAGGATGCAGATGGGGTACTTCTTGTTCCATAGTCGCTTTCGGGCCAAGCCGGGGGGGCAGAGGGAGACCTGCAACACCAAGAAGAGCCGTGAGGCACTGCGGGGTCCCTGCAAGGGGACAATCCCTGCTCCCAGGGCACCTTGGCACCGCTCATATCGTAGCAACGATGGCTGACGAAGGCGACATCGAGGATTTCCTCTGCAAAGGTGGCCTGGCGTGGGATGTTGCTTTTGGGGTAGGACAACTTGAGGGTGGCCCCATCCAGCGTGGCCAGCACCGAGTGTGTGAGTGACGGGTGGTACAGCTCAGGGTCATAGGTGTGCAGCTGGTTCAGCCAGCCCTGCTGGGACAGAGCCGGCCAGCCATAGGCTCCCCATACCCACCCCCCAATGCCCACCGCTGCCCATTTCCTACCTGCAGGCCGTGGGTTCTCCGTGGGCTGTCCAGGAGCAGCTCGGGGCGCAGGCGCGGCAGCGGCGGCGGCTTCAGCAGGAGGAGCAGGACGGCGAGCAGGCCCAGCAGCAGGCCGCAGGTGAGGCCCAGGCAGAGGCCTGCAGCGTAGGGCGGCAGCGGCAGCACCAGGTAACCGTAGGTGAGCAGCGCCACGCAGGCCAAGGCCCGGCCCGGCACCGTGCCCCCAGGCAGGGCCGATGGCGGTGGCTGCTCCGGGGACTCGGCCTTGTGCTGTGCCACCTCCACCACCTGGATGACGTCCCCGTAGGAGCAGATCTCATAGCGGCAATTCAGGGTGGGCTCCCAGGGGCTCCAGTCCCGTGCCCGCTGCCCCCCGTCCCCTCTGCCTCCCGATTCCCCTCGCCCCGGGCTGCCCCCTGCCTTTGCCTGGCCCGCAGGGCCGCTTTCCTCGGCCATCAGGCGGCTCAGGCGGCTGAGGGGCTCCTGCACGGCCTCCGACAGCCGCCTCCTGGTGTCCTCCAGCCTGGCCTCCCGCAGCCGGAGCAGCGCGGTGCGGCTCTCCGACGGGGACACGCTGGGGGAGGATGGAGCCGTGCGGGACTTGGACGGGCCCAGCCGCGACTGGGGGCCCCGTGGGATGTCAGCCAGGAGCATGGACAGGGGCTTCGTGTCCCCCTCCATGGGGAATAGGGTCCCACTGCCCTCCCCGCCGCTGCCATTCTCCCTGGTGCTGGCAGGATGGGACTTTGTCCCGTTGATGTCCCTGTGTCGAGGAGAGCCCGGGGATGGTGCCAGGGTTGGAGAGGCCTCCGCCGCCACTGCAGCCTGGTCTGCCATCGCTCGCATCGCCGGCGGTGCTGCCAAGAGAAGAGGAGAGAGCAGCTCAGCTCGGTGCCACGCTAAGACACAGCACATCGCTGCCCAACGACCCAAGGCTGCTATGATCTGGATGCCTCTGGACCCAGTTTGGGATGCCTTTGGGGACACTGGTGTGCCTGACCTCCACCCCTGCCCCTCCCCTTGCAGCATCCCTACAACAAGAGCAGGGATGAGCCTGGGGCTGCCTCGTGCCTGGGATCTGCTTCGCTGAGATCTTCAAAGCACTTTCCTACCATGAATTAATTACAGGCTGCGTCGCAGCTGCCTCCAGCTCCGTTTATATAATCTCATGCTTCGTGGCTTTCACTTTGCTCCTCATTTACATGAGCCAACTGTTAACCCCAAATAATCATGTAGGATGCTCAGGGAGAGCACAATGCAGCTTCTGGAGCTAACAGCCCACAGGACCCAATGCAAGATTCATCCCTGCTCTGCTGCCATACTCCTGCAGGATCTGCCCAGTCTCAAGAGTGCTCTCCTTGCGTTTACTCAGCAAACCCAGCACCAGGTGGAGCCCTGTGCTCTGGGGTTGGTGCCATCCAGTCTGCAGCACCAGCTTGGTGGTTCGGTGCCACACTGTCTCCAGTGCCACAGCTGCCCCCAGTGCCACCCACAGCCCTCCTCAGCCCTCAGCCATGCCTACCAGAAATCCCCAGTGCTCAGGAGGAACTGCCTGGCTGCTGCTCCCTGTGCCGGGTCAGGGGCACACCAGCTCTGCTGTGGTTACCACCTCTCCAGAATTCCTGGGGTTTTAGAAAGCTTAAAAAAGAAAATGGAAAAGAAAATGACTGTTTCCTGAGAGACCATTAGCACAGTGGAAGACTGAGATAATAATAGCCTGGGTTTATATGGGAGTTTTCATCTGGCAGGGACGCCAAGTACAGCGGGGGCTACGCACACTGCAGTGCAGCCACCTCTGGGGTGCGAGGGAGGCCAGGACTGTGTGGAGCAGTGGGGATGGAACCTGCAGCTGTCAGGCTGGGCCACCAGCAGCCTGCAGTGGTGCTGCATAGGATGCCCTATTGAAGGAGCTTTGCTTGGGGCATGTGCCACTGGACAATGGCTACAAAGGTCAGAAAGCTTCTGAGCCAGACCCATCCTTCTAATTTCTGTCCATTTGTGCTTCAGATGTAAGGCTGTGAGCCAATCTGGTGCAAAGAAATATGAGCTGCAACCTGTGCCTGCCTGGTGCCTTTGAGTACCTCCCCCCAAAATGCTCCCCTGACACACACAGCACTGGAGCACTTTTGCTGTGCTTCACTGCTCAGCATAGGCTCACACCAACAAATGACACCCACATCCTCCCAGGCGGGCCACTGCCAAAGTAATGTTTGCTTCTTTTGTAAAATCAAGGAGAGTTAATTGACAAATTAATTTCCAGCAGCCCTCTCCCGTTAATGAGAGCTGCTGATGGCCACTCAATGGAGGAGGGCTGGCACTGCTCACAGGGTGGTGGCTGAGCTCTGCCTCATCTCTGAAGCTTCTTTCAGCCAGCCAAACAAGTTGGAAATCCCTCCTCTAATTATCTTCACAATATACTGCTGCAGGAACCAAACTGCCGTGGCTATTAGCACTGTAACTAGAGAGCTCCCTGCATTATCCCGTGATTAAGGACTTCGATGGAAGTCACACTGCAGCCTAAGGACATAAATCTGACAAGTGCAGACTGCTTCTCGGCAAAAACGGAGCTTTGAGCACAGGCATAGATTCCCCTCCTGACAAGCCTTCAATTAGCTGGAAGATAGGCTGGACAGGTGATGCTGCTGAACCAGAGACTTTCTGGCTTATGCTGGCTGGAAACCTGTGCCCAGAGGTGCATGCAGTGCTTCAGTGTGTTTAGAGCCCCTCCCTCTCGTTTGCTGCCAGTGAATTACAAAGGAGGCAGCTTCCAAACCACACAGCAACACAGAGTCCTCGGATCCCCCAGCCCTGCCCCATGCCTGCCACAAACCATCAATCCCTGGGGCTCGAGCGGAGCATGCCTGAGCCTGAGACACACGTCTGACCTAATTTGAAACGGCAGCATCCAGAGGGCAGGAGTGCTGGGGTCTGCACATGATGGCCCCCCTGGCTCTGCTCCTGACTAAGAGATGTGGCCATGTCCGTTGTCATTAAGGACCAGAGCCCATCGGAGTGCTTCACTCCAGGCCTCGGGGCTCCTGCAGCAGCGGCTCCTTGGGACAGTCACCTGCACTTGTCCCAAAGGCCCTGGTGTTTTTGCTCTTGCAGCAAGCAAGTGCAATCTCAGCGAGAGCCCATGGACTGAATCATCCAGTAATATTCAGACACAGCCAGCAGCTCGCAGTGCCAGGTATTTCAGAAGGAAAAGGAAACGACGCACAGCTCATCACCTCCCAGAGCCTGCAGTTCACCTTCACAGCAGAGCTGTTCCCTTGCAGCACACCAGGCTGCTGCCACCTCCTTCCCCTGGAGCCCTGAGCTCAGCACGTCCCACACCGTCCCCCAGCGACCCGTGCACAACAGGGACGGTCCCCATAACGTCTGGAGCTCTGCTGTGCCCTTGCTGAAGTGGCAGGAAGGGCCACAACCCCTGTTGAGCCCGTGACCCATAGCGACCCACAGCGACCCACAGCTTCTGTCCCCTGGTGCCTGCAGCTCGGCCCCGCAGTGCTGCTCGTGCACCCCTCTGGCAGCACACAGGGCCCTCCGCGGGTGCCTACCCTCTTTCCCCCCCCCAGCATGCTCTGCCCCACGCCCTCCCCAGAGCTTCTCGCTGAGCCCCGAGCGATGGGGCAGCCCCCAGCCCGCCCCAGCGGCTGCGCAGCCCCCAGCATCGCTCCGCACTCCCGTACCTGGCTCGGACGGCAGCGCCCGTGGCCGCCGGGAGGGGTCGGTCCCGGTGCCGGGGAAGGACGAGCGGTACCGGTGCTGCCCTGGAGAACGGTGCCGGGGGAAAGGGCCGGTGTGGGGCAGTCCCGGTGCTGGAGGATCCTGTGCCGGTGAAGAAGAGCCGGTGCCGGTACCGAAGGGCTAACGCCGATGCTGGGCAGAGAAGATGGGGCCGGAGCCGGTGCTGGAGGTGAGCGGTCGGACCTGCTCCTGGTCTCGGTATGGGGTCTGGATAGGCAATGCCGGGCTGCGGCTCGCCCCCTTCCAGCCACCGGTGCCGAAGCATCCGCAGGACCGCGCCGGGCCCCGCTCCGCCCCGCCGAGCTCCGCCCCGGGGCCGGTCTCGCACGGCTCCTTCGGCTCAGCCGCCCTCGAGGCTGTGGGGAAAGGAGCAGGAGGGGAGAACGGGAGCCACCAGCTCCGAGTCCGCCCGGGAGCCGGTCCCGGTGCTGCCGCGGGTTAATTAACGGCAGCAGCCGATCTCCCTCCGCATCCCTCCCTGATCTTGCAGGAGCTAATCCTCTTCCCCATCCCTGCCTAATCCTGCAGGAGCCGCCCGTTCCCGGCTGCGGCTGCCCGGCAGTAGCCCCGCCGTTAGGGGCTCAGGAGCTTCGCGTCGACCCCACGCGGCACACGGACACAGGGACACGGGGCTCACAGCTCCCAGAAACGCCAACACCGGCGGAAGGGACGCTGCCACCGTGGGCTGTACGGGAAGCGGCGGGGGGGAACCTCGGCGTTACGGGACCCCCCCGGGGCTCCGCGGCGGCTGCGCCACGGCGCCATCTCGCGGCCGCGGGGCCGTGCCGGTACCGGGGGCGGTGCGGATACCGGGGGCGGTGCGGGTACCGGGGCGGTACCGGGGCGGTACCGGGGCGGAGCCGGGCGGCAGCGGACGCAGCCATGTCGTTCTGCTCGTTTTTCGGAGGCGAAGTATTCAAGGACCACTTCGAACCGGGTGAGCGGGGCCGGGTGGTGGCGGGGGAACCCCTTGTAGGGATGGCGGATTCCGGACCGCAGAGCCCCGCTCGCTGCCGGCTCTCTGGGATCGGCAGTTGTCCATGGTGGCTAAAGTCCAACGCACGTGGGAATCCCGTGGTGGCTGACGTGGCCGCGGGGCGGCTGGGAACGAGCGGGGATCCCCGCGGCTGACCTCCTTTGCCATCCTCCCCAGGTGTGTATGTATGCGCCCGGTGCGGCTATGAGCTGTTCTCCAGCCGTGCAAAATACGAGCACTCATCCCCCTGGCCGGCCTTCACCGAGACCATCCACGAGGACAGCGTGTCTAAGCGCAAGGAGCGTCCGGGGGCCTTGAAGGTGATGGCTGTGAAACAGCTCCCCAAAAACCCCAAATCCTCTTTTCTTAACATCATCTGTCTTTTTTCACTTGTTTTCTAAACCTTCTCTTTATATTGCCAGGTGTCCTGTGGCAAGTGTGGCAATGGGCTGGGCCACGAGTTCCTCAACGATGGCCCCAAGCGGGGGCAGTCCCGGTTCTGAATATTCAGCAGCTCGCTCAAATTCATCCCTAAAGGTGAGGGATGGGGTTTGGTGGCTGCCTCCATCCATTATTATCTCTTTTTCTGGGGGGAGCCGCTGAAGCCTGGCCATGCTGTGAGGGGATGCACTGCTCCCAGTCCTAAACAAATCCCAAACATCTCAGCTTGGTCAGGCTCCATGGGTACCTTGCTCAGTTAAATGCAGGGTGATGGAAGTGGCTGCGGGTCCCTGTGTTTCAGAGGAACCTTGGTGCTGCAAAGCAGGACAGGAGTCTGTTGGAAGATGGGGCTTTGCTGGTTCCTTCCAAGCAGCAGTCACATGGAGGTGTGGTTATTGCCTCTGCTTTGTGCGTAGGGAGGAAGTGCAGGGAAGACAGTGCTTCCTTCCTGTATGGTTATTGTGCTTCTTGCTTCCCTGGTGTCAGAAAAAATAAAACAATTTTGGAGGCTGCCTCTGTGTTCAGGGCAGCACCCAGCTGTGCTGTGCTGTTCTGTGTATTGGACTGCAATGCTGTGCATGGCAAAGTAACTGCATAAAGTGGGCTGGGGGCTCTGGGGCAAGGAACGCAGGCACTGATTTCTTTCCTTCTCTTCTTTTAGGCAAATCAGACAAAGACCCACAGGAGAAGTAAGCAAGCTGCTCTACATGACTACTGTGAGGGGCCATTCTCACAGCTGGGATGTATGGGAGCAGGGACTGTGACTGAGCCCCTGATTTCCCAGTCTGCTTCCCTGCTCCGAGTCACCTCAGTCATGGGTCTGGGAGGGAGCTGGGGGTGGGGAGAAGGGCTGCTGAGCTGCACATGCTGGCAGAGATTGTTTGGCACAAATTATGCTGAAGGCTGCAGCTCTTTGTTTCACCTGCCCTTTCCCCCTCCCCAGCCATCCCTCCTCCCCAGTTATCCCTTCCTCTGCCCATGGCAAGCAGTGTGTGCTGGGACTGTCACCATCACAGCCAAGAAGGGCTGGCTGTGACCCATCACCACTGCCACCTGGAGCTGCTCTGCTGCCATCTCCTGCTGGATTAGCTGGGATCAGAATCCGGGTTAATCTCTGGTGCTATTCTGGGCTGGGATCATGGTATGAATTGTCCTCTGTAAATCCTCCTGGGATGCGAGGGCAGTGATGTTTTATGATCCTGCTGGATGGCAGCCAGGCGTTTAGCCCTTTGCCCATCTTGCACATAGCAGAGGTGGTTCTGGATTCACTGTGACCTTGGGGCTTGGTTCCGGCCTCCCACCATGTGTGTCACTGTGCTGTAACCCCAGTGATGTTAACGGTTCCCCCTGCTGCAGGGAGGCCAGAACCAGCCTGCTGACTGCACCTCACACTACTCAGGCTTTACGAATCACGTTTGCATTCTCTCTGTGCTCAAAAGGGCTCTGGCACTGATTTCTCCTTAATTCAGGGCCTGATTCGTGGCCTTCCCCTCACCATCTTGCTTTGTTTACTGCCCAGAAACCAAATCCTCCTCTTTGACATCAGCATAGATGGATTTTTGAACACAGCAACCCTTTGTCTGACCTTTGGGTCTGGCATTGCATCTGTGGTCAATGCATGTTACGGTTCGGCTGCACTCAGGGCACTTCAAAGGCTTTTCTCGGCATTCATTTCATGTCTTCAAACCCCTCTGGCACTGAGAACTGCACTGTGCCAGCCTGTCACTGCTGGCCTGGTACCTCCAAATACTGATAATAAACCACTGATTCACTGTATGAGAGAAATAGCTTTTTTCCTTTCTTCTAAAAATCATTTCTGCTGGCACCACGGTGCGGGGGGTCCACCTTGGGGCACTTCTCTGCAGCTTTTCTTGGTGGTTGAAGCACGCTGAGGGTCTGCAGGAGGCAGGAGCAGGACCTGTGCAAGGCATTGCTTCATGCATCCGTTCTGTGTTCCCAAAGTCCTGGCCAGTGACCTGGCAGCAGATTTCCTCTATGTCTCTGGATCTCCAGACCTGAGATGTGAGGGGCAGCCATGGAGCAGCACAGCACCCAGCGCTGGGGCTCTGCAACCTGAATGGTCTGGAGTTGGTGGGAGCTTTATTCTCTTTACCCTGGCTTTTGCTGTTTGAAAAGGGAGATGCTGATGCTTTACAGGCCTTTGATCTTTGCTGGGGTCACAGTTTAATTGGAAAGATTTTCTTGTTCTTTAAATTTGTATTTTAGCTCAATGGCAGCTGGGTTTAGGTTGTTTCACAGTTGTTCTTGGTGAGCTCCCCAGCTTCTGGCTGGGGCTGGTTCTCCAGGCTTTGCATTCCCACAGTGCTGCCTTTGTCCCCAACTGTCCTGGGCTGGATTCAGCCTCTGATGGCTGTTACTGACTGCTAATCAGCTTCCTGCTGATTGATCCCCTGATCCCCCGATCTGCTGCTTCAACTCTGGCCTGGTGACCTCAATTGAGATCCAGAGGCTGGAGGGGAGATTGTCCACATCCCCATTCTCACCCTCATCCCCAGCCTCACCCTCATCCCCAGTCTCATCCTCATCCCCATCCGCAGCACCAGCCCCATCTCCGTCCCTCGCTCCGTCCCCAGCCTGCTCCCCCCGCCCCACCAGTTGGATTTGGGGTATCGGAGCAGACAGCAGGGACACCTCGCACCGCCCCCGGCGCCGCTTGCAGTGTGCGGCCGCAGACACAGGAGGGTGCCAGCGCCGTTCCCAGCCCCGAGCAAAGCTGCAGCCACCCGCGGTTCCTCATCGGCTGTCTTCAGCAAAGGAACAGCGGTCTCGCGGAGTGGATTTTCCCCTCGATTTTCCCAGTGGGAAAACCACCCCGAGCCGACAAAGCCCGGGATGTTCCAGCGGGGCTGAGCGGCTCTGCCGAAGTTCCTTCAGAGCCTCTGATGCCCGCGGAGATTCGGGCAGGGCTGGAGCAGGTGGTGCTGCGGTGAAGGATGCTGCCCCCTGTGCCCCCCCAGCACCTCTGACCCCCTCCCCTCCCCATCCTCCTCTGTCCCACAGTGATGTGCTGCACTCAGCGGTCCTTCCCCCACCATTAATCCTCGTTTTACTCTTACACTAATGACAATTCTTGCCTTAATGAGAAGGTTTTGCTTAGTTGGGCAAAAGAGGCCCCAGATTGGCGACGTGGGTTTAATGCCATCAAGGGCCCTGAAGACAGAAATTGAATTACGTTAGCAGGCCTATGTAAACTTCCCCGGTTGTTTAAAAGATCATTAATTTCCTCCCCTGTAGCCTCCGGCTGACCTCTATTTTTAATTTTTTAATTTTTTTTTTTTTATTTGCATGGCACGGGGCGGAGCTGCCTCTTTGACCCCCCTTGGCATGGCTCCAGCGGTGGAAAGGCGAACGACCAGAGCCCGGCGAGCCTCAGATTAATTCTCCTAATAAAGCCGACAAGCCCTATAGAAATTACGTTACGCAAGGAAAAAGAAAATGACCTGCAGGCATTAGGAAGCTCTAATTATCGTTATTCCTTCCAGCCAGCAGGCTGGGCGGGGAGCCTTCTGCCTGCCAAGGGTTTCTTTTACTGTGCACCCTCAGTTTTGTTTCAGTTTGAGTGGAGGGCTCAGAGAGGACACCTGTTGATAGAGAACATCCACCGACAGCCAGAGAAAATTAAGGGCTTATTTCACTCCATTCACTGATTATAGGTCTATCTCAGTGCCAGTTTGCCTCCATCTTACAGCCACCTCTCACTGTCACTGCTCTATTCCATAAAGTTTCCTCCATCCCAGGCAAACTTCCCAAGCCAAACGTGGAGAAATTCATTTGCAGTTTGCAGTGCGTGTTAATTAGGGAGTTAATGACTAGAACTAGTCAGAGCAGGTCTGAGCTTGCTAGAAAAATGTTTAGCCCAAGGAAAATTGATTTTTTTTTTCTTCCCTGGATGCTGAGATCTGACTTTTTAAGGCAATTAGTGAGGGTTTATTTGTTAATCAGTCATACTTACATGCTTGCTTTGGGGTCTTATCTCTTGCTCCCAAGTGCACATCGCTTCTAATCATAATCTCTTTTTCTGATGTGTGAAATGCCTGTCCCTGGGATGCTGCTGGGCCTGAGGGTGATGGAGCTGCACTCATCCTGCCTCATCCTGTCCCTCCTCCTGTGCTATTTCCCCGCGGAGCACCCAAAGAGCTGAGGGCTCCATCTGCATCTCAAGCACATCCTGGCTTTCCCTGCTTGGGTCTCCCAGAGCCTGGGATGAAGCACCCCTGGTGTGGGGAAGCAAGAGCACGGTGGGCACCCCATGGCCCAGGATGGAGCTGCCCAAAAGCAGGACTTTTGGAACTAGATGATCTCTAAGATCCCTTTGAACCCAACCATTCCATGATTCTATGATCTTTAAGATTCCTCCAAGCCCAACCATTCCATAGTTCGATGATCTTTAAGGTTCCTACCAACCCAAACCATTCTTCAGTTCTGTGATCTTTAAAGTTTCTCCCAGCCAAAGCCATTCTATGATTCTATGAAAGGTGCTGGGGATGCACCAGCACTGTTGTGCAGTGCTGCAGGGGGATCTCACTGCAACCCCCTTTGGTGCAGGGTCCAACATAGCCCCACAGCCGCTTTCAACAGCGGATCCCACACCCCCAAAATGACTTTGGTCCACTAAGAAATGTAACTTTTGCTTCAAAATGTGAAGAGAGCCATTCATGCTCACACAGCTCTGCAGGGTACATTGGACATCGATGGCCCTGGGGACTGTGGGGACACAGCAGGACAGCAGTGCTGGTGTCCCATGGGCCAGATGGTGCTTTTAGGTGCTGCACTGCACTGTCTGCAGTAATGATTTGTTGCTTGTAAAACCACCGTGATTAACAGTTTAGCCTCCTAGTTTCATGTCTTATCATGTTTCATCTCTCACGAAAGACATTTACAGTCTATTTTCAACTTCAAAGCAAATGCTTCTTGCGTGAGCATTAAGGAAGGCAAATATTTAAGCAGAACCTGTATGGTATTAGCGTCTCTTGATGTTCCCTGCTGAGTGAGGATTGATGGCTGCCCGAAGAGGCAGGTTTTTCCTATTGTTTTATGCACCAGTGATTAATATTTCATGTTCCCACTGTTATATATTTGCTGGCTGGCACTGGCCAACCCTGACAGTGCTTTCTTCATGTCTTACGAGTCTAGCTTTTATGCAGTGCGATGTAGGAAGTGTGACTCTTGGCAAAGCCCTGTGGTCTTATTGAAGCCTCCTGCATGAGTTTTCCAAATTGTGTTCATCTTGCATAAGGGCATATGACATGTCTCCCTTCCCCTAGATGCCTCTGTCCTATCGCTTTGTTTTGCTCTACCCCTGTCCTTTTTGCTACCCCATCTTTCAGGGTCTCACTGTGGGATGGGGACAGCAGCATCCCTCCTTTAGGGGCTGCCACCTCTTCCTGGTAGGGACAGTGAAGATGGTACCAGGGCACAGGGATGGCACTGGGGCATAGCTGCCTGTGTCACAGGTTTCATGGTTAACCTTGTCAAAGCAGGAGGAAAATAGCCCAGGACCAAATTCCTCCACTTTGAACCCGATGACACACTGCTGTGCATTCGTCTGAATGCAAAACATATTAAGCGCAGGAACTGCAAGGGACGGCTCTGCTTATCATCCAGCTTGGAGTTCATATAATTCAATTAGGATGAACAGTAAATATAGCTCGTTTTAATTTAGATGGAGGGCTTGCTTCGGCTCTATCCTTTAATTTCAGGAAAAGGGAAGCAGTGGGAGGACTGCCAAGAATTTTTGCCAAACCCACAGTGGCTCCAAGGCTGTGGGTGCAGAGGCCACCTCTGAGTGGGCACTTTCATGGGGGGAGGAACCCCACCAAGCACCAAGACTGCAAAGCTGCCTCAGTGTTACGTGCAAAACCAAGGCTGGAAAGCCATAGGGAGGAATCAGTGTGCAATCTGCTGGAGGAGGAAGCGATCAGCTCAGGAGAGAGCTGCAGACACGCAACTTTGGGACCGCGTGGCATCCTTAGGAGATGATTTTAAATGCGTGCATCTTGTCTGCATCGTGGTCTATCTTTGTTCCCCTCTGATGTCTTGAGGCTGGGATGGTATTTTATGTGCCTGCCAGCAGCATGACAGCTCTGTTGGAAATTAACTTCTCTGTGCTTTAAGCATCTCGCAGGCATAAAATCAAAGTGAGGGATCAAACCCATTAATCTCCAATTAATTTAAGCTGTTGATCCTGGCAGGCCAAGCACTTGGGCTCTGGTGGGGGACAGAATGCTCAGGGTGTGCTCAGCAACGTCCCTGTCCATCTGTCTATCCATGTAGGCACTCCATGCAAAATTTAGGCAAAACTGACTTTTTGTCTCAGACTCATCTGCCTGAATGAGATAACCCCAGCTGTGGTACTTCCCATCTGCTTGCCCCAGAAAATCACAGAACCATTGGATCATCAAGGTTGGAAAAGCCTTCCGAGATCCCTGAGCCAAACTCCAACCCTGTGCCTCCAACCCATCTGCAGTGGGTGCCATCAGGTGGGATTAGGTGAACATTTCTGCCTGTATGTAGGTGAAACGGGGGGAAATAATAAGAAGCTGCAATTTGCCAATACATGCTGCAGGGCGAGATGGGTCGTGTCTTCAATTACAGCTGCTCACGTGTGTGAGCCACCAAAATATGCAAGGTATTCGTTTAATTTCTCCATCTGAGGCCAGCACGGTATCTTGATGCTTATCAAAACAGAGCTTTGGATGTATGCTCTGGGGAGGAAACTTACTCCTGCAGACAGCCCACGTCAAGCTGAGACACCA